TAATAATGTAATAATGTTATTATTATTATTATTATTAAAGCTTATTCATTTTGAGAGAGAGAAAGAGAGAGAGAGAGAGAGAGAGAGCGAGCGCACAGGCAGGGGAAGGGCATAGAGAAAGGGAAAGAGAGAGAATCCCAAGCAGGCTTTCTGCTGTCAGCACAGAGCCTTGCTGTGACATGGGGCTTGAACTCAGGAACCATGAGATCATGACCTGGGCCAAAGTCAAGAGTTGGATACTTAACTGCCTGAGCCACACAGGTACCCTGAAAAATTATTTTTAAATGAAATTTGATTTTATTTAGTTATTGTGCTCCTCCTCAAATTTTCTATTCTTTTTAAAGCTAATTCTGGCACTTTTTATTCCATGCATGTTCTTACTATTTTCAGTATCTTCTCTCTCTATATATGTATATCCATATCCCCTTTTTTCCAATATTTAGTTTCTGCCTTCTCATGTTCTGCTTTGATAATTTATAAATAGGTCTAGACTTTGTCTTTTTTAGTAGTCCTTTTTTTTTTTTTTTCAACATTTATTTATTTTTGGGACAGAGAGAGACAGAGCATGAACGGGGGAGGGGCAGAGAGAGAGGGAGATACAGAATCGGAAACAGGCTCCAGGCTCCGAGCCATCAGCCCAGAGCCTGACGCGGGGCTCGAACTCACGGACCGCGAGATCGTGACCTGGCTGAAGTCGGACGCTCAACCGACTGCGCCACCCAGGCGCCCCTTTAGTAGTCCTTTTTTACATGTATTCGTCTTTTTTTTTTTTTATTTTGGAGTTTTTAAAGGTAATGACAAATATCAGCAATAAAATATATATATTTAGTTTTCTGATTATTAATCCTGCATTTATAGCTCTAACATGTAAATAAAATGAAAAATTTTTCTTTTTCTTCCATCTCAGAATTAATAAACTTACTAAAAAATGGGAAGATTTTTTAAAAAATATGTGTTTAAGACATATTTTAGGGTATTAACTATAATATTTTTATATCTACCAGAGTTATATATTAATTCTATGGTAAGTTCTGATTTAAATTATTCTTTATTTCTCCCCAAATATGACTTAATATCACACACTGCATGCATTTTTTCTATAAGAAGAAAATTATCCTGGGGCACCAGGTGGCTCAGTTGGTTAAGTGTCCAACTGTTGATTTTGGCTCATGATCTCAGAATCATGAGATTGAGCCCCATGTTGGACTTTGCACAAAGCGCAGAGCCTGCTTAAGATACTCTCTCTGTCTCCGCCCCTTTCCTGCTCATGCTCTTTCTCTCTCTCATTCAAATAAATAAATACACTTTAAACAAAAGAAGAAAATTATCATTTGTGTAAAGAAATTGTACTTTTTATTTTCCCCAAGTTTATTTAGATTTGAAACCCTGAACTTTTTAAACATTATGTATTTTTTTTTTTTACCAACTGCGATGCTTTTCTTAGATTAATGATGAAACCAATTGTTCATCCCTCAGACTCTGACAGCATACAATGAATTCTGACAACTTTCTCCCACTCCAGTTCCTGAATAACATGTAATTTCCTTGATATGACAAAATATCATTTTAGCATGCATGTCATGCCTTGGTGTTCATTTTTCATTTTTCATTTTTCTGTAAGTTAATGAGTTCTCGCAAAGAGAGCCATCATAAAGTTGTCTTTTTCCAAAAGTCCTGTTGCAGCATATGGAGATGGCGACAAGCTACAATACTAGGGAGATTTGTTTTAACCCAAGCCTCCAAAGTGTGCATAGAAATACTAAATATATCCCTGTGTGTTTTGCAGACAATCCTGGTTTGCTGAGCCATGTGACAGTGGGTATTAGAGTTCTGGATGTCAATGACAATCCACCTGAACTTGCCAGGGAATATGATATTGTTGTCTGTGAAAATTCAAAGCCTGGCCAGGTAAGTTAATTGTTTCCTTCCTATCATTGAGATAGAAGAAAAACAAGCAGCTCTCTTTCTATTATTTTTATATATAATCCTCAAAATCCCTCAGTGTTATTTTTGGGCTCAGTGGAAATAATTTTATAAAGCTTTATTTTAAGTACCCAATAGATTTTTTTTTGAGAATCCTTGAAAATGAATTTTCTCCAGATCCCAAATGTTACTCAAAAAATGAACTCATTCGTGCATATATCCATCATAGAATTATATTGGATGCTTTGGGTGAAGCCCTGTATTAAATTAGGAGGAAACTGTGAACTTTCCAGTCCCATTGATGCTGTGAGCCTAGATTACAGAGAAGGCACTTGTTGGTCTACTTTGGAGGGCCTGCAGGAGTGACATGTGTGTGTCCATTGAGTAATATTGGTACCAAACGATGTTAGGTTTTAACCACATGAAGAGAATCTATGTATGAAGGGAGTACAGACAGTGGGGAAGTTAAGAAGAGCTTGAACCTGGGTGGCGAGTCCGGATGTAGCATGGCAACAGGCTAAAGGAGCACTGTGATTCTTTGAAGGGAGACCAGTGTGGCTATGGCACATAAAGTAAGCAGAAGTCTGGCAGGTGATATACATTTGTTTGTTTGTTTGTTTGTTTGTTTTCTGTTATATAGCAAAGTACACAAACTTAGCATCTTAAAACAACTCTTATTTATGACCTCAGAGTTTCTGTAGGTCAGATGTCTGTTCATGGCTTAGCTGGATCTTTGCAGGGTCTTTCCCAAGACTGGAATCAAGGTATCCATCAGGACCATGATCTTACCTGAGGCTTGAGATCGCGTCTAAGCTGACCTGGTTATTGGAAGAATTTAATTACTTTCAGCTACAGACCTCAGAGCTTCAGGATTTTCCTCAGCTCTTGAGTATTACCTGGAGTCTTGACATGTTGCCCCCCGGTTCTTGCTCCATGGGCTTCCCTAATGTAGCCCATTTACTTCATCAAACAAGTAGGAAGAGATCTGCTAAGTCTGTTATCAATCAGTCTTATAAAATATAATGTAGTGCAATACAATCAGGTGAATAATATATCAACATTTTTGCCATATCTGTTTCTCAGAGGCGAATCACAGGTCACATCCAGACTTCAAGGGGAAGGGATTACATGGAGGCATGAATTCCATGAGGACCACCTTAAAGTTTGTCACAGGTGAATCCAGATAGAAAAGGTCTAGGGTCTAGGTCCAGCCGAGTCATTTGTTCCCCTTTATTGTCTTTGGTAAACCAGAATGACTCTAACTATATTGTCCAGACCTACTTTAAATCATTTTAAAGCTTGTCCTAAAATTATACTACTGAGAAACATTGCCTATTTTTTTATAAGGCCCAATCAATACTGTGCTAAAGTAATCATTGCTTATGTTATCAATGCCCTCCTGAGAAGGTATTTGTTTATATATAAATGAACAACTCTTTTTACCATGTTCATGGACCACAAGAAAATTGGAAAATATGATAAGAACAAAATGGATGAAAAGTATATCCTTAAGTACTTACAGATTATATAATGTATTATATTTTAATCATATTATGTTAGAATATAACAGTAATTAATATATTATATAATATATAGATAATATTTTAAGATGATCACTTCAGATAGTTAGGTGTTTGTCTATATCACCATTTCAAAAACAGCAAGGAATTTTATGGTACAGATATATAATGATTTATTTAATAAACCCTATTCATTGTGTCAGAAGTGGGTGCACGCATCCTAAAATTATTTTCTTAACATTCGTTATAAAAGTACAATTAATGAGAAAAATGTTAAACTTTCAAGGGGAAATTTTAGATTATAAAAGATAAAGCCACTGAATGTGGACTCTCAGTTCTTGGTAACAGAAGATTAGCCATACCTGAAGTGAAGATTAGGCAAGCAGGAATTAAAACTACAATAAGAATTTGTATTCCCAATACTGTACTCTAGTTTTGTAAGATGTTCCTAGTTGGGAAAAGTGGGTACATAGCATCTCTCTGTGTTTCTTAGAACTGTATATGAATATGTGACTACCAAAAAAAAAAAAAAAAGAAAATTTAATTTAAAGTAAAAATATTTTAAAAGATATATATATTTTAATTTTTTTAACCTGTACTCACTTTTGAGAGACAGAGTGTGAGTGGGAGAAGGGTAAAGAGAGAGAGGAAGACAGAATGAAGCAGGCTCCAGGCTCTAAGCTGTCAGCATAGAGCCTGATGCGGGGCTTGAACTCATGGACCATGAGATCATGTCCTGAGCCGAAGTTGGACACTTAACAGACTGAGCCACCCAGGCACCCCTAAAAGATAACTTTAAAAGAATAATACCAAAAGCTAATTTTTCCACAAGAAAGATAAAACCCAGAAAACAATGAAAAGATAATTCCCAACAGTGGCAAAATAATAACTGACAGGCATGAATTCTTTTTTCTACCAAAAATATCCCTCAGAAATAAAGACAGGAAAAACTCAGTTAGGACAACAAAATGTGAAAATCCCACCTTGTAAGACACAGTCTCAGAATTATATTAGTTAAAAACAGGCAAATAACTATACTGGTAAGTTTAAGTCACAAGGAACCTCCAAGACAAAATCAATCAGTAAATATATTCATAAAAACTCAGTTATCAATGAGTGAATAGAAATCAAAAGAACACTTTCTGGAGTTTAAAATATGCATCATACACATGGCAACAAGGGATCATAAGTGAGAAAGACACATAAAGTTAAAATATTCTAAACTCCTTAAATTTGGGATCCTTAAAATTTGAGAAATTGATAAACTACGATTTTATAACAGATTTTGTATGTCCACAGTGCATGCTCTAACCTCTAGATTAACTAATAAAAATAGTAAAAGAACATGTAACCAACAAGCTAATGGCAATTGTAATAGAGATACTTAATACTAAAGACAGCAATGTTTACATTTCTATTTCTTGATCTTAACTGTGTTCATGAAAACATTTGTTCACTTTAAAATAGTTCATATACTTGCCAAATTGTTGCAGGTGATTTTATCCTGCTGGATTATATTTTACAGTACAAAAATATAGGGAAAATAAAATTTTCATATAGGAGCTATTTTCAAAGATTCTAGAAGTCTATTTTATTTTTTTCATGTTTATTTATTTTTGAGAGTGGGTGACAGCAAGGGGTAGAGAGAGAGGGAGACAGAGAATCCCAAGCGGCGTCCTCCTCTGTCCTAGTGTACCAAACTCACAAAGTGTGACGTCATTACCTGAGCCAAAAACAAGAGTCAGATGCTGAACTGACTGAGCCACACAGGTGCCCCTAGAAAGACTATTTTAAAACTAAAATATAATCCTAATAAAATGTGACGTTTGTAACCAATAGTAATTCCAAAATAATCCAGAAATTCCTGTGAAGTTTGTAAAACTCAAAATTGGAATGACAAGTTCTCATATTTGCTGCTGATACATAGATGGTCTCTTAACACAAAACAGGCAAAATAAGATGCAAGTTGTAGTGTACAAAATTCTAGTAGCTAGGTAGAGGTCTTGCAATTTTAAAAAAATCAAGAAATAAGAAAAAAATATAGAATAATGGATAAAATAGAAAATTAAAATGATGTAAACTGAAAGTATACATTAGTATTTATGTTGAAATAAAATCACATAAATACTCAAAAGATACATATTGTCAAAATAGATAAGAAAAAATAATTTAAATATTGTTTAAGGAGGTGTAAAATCAATGTGATAGAGGAAAATAATTTGAAAGGAAACATATAGAAAAACATAACGAATAAGTACTTGAATATGTATACTTGCTGTAGACATATTCATGCAACTACACACACACACACACACACACACACACACACACACATTTCATCAAACAACATTGGTAGATATAAAGAGATACATTCATTGGGATGAAAACAATTTATGCACCAGGTAGAAATAACAATTTTAAATTTATATACACTTATCAATGTTGCCTCAAAATGAACAAAGAAAAAAATATATAAAACTAGATTAGCCATTATTGTATTGAGACTTTACTATGCTTTTACAAGAAACTGATAGAGTAATTACATAAGATTTTGGTAAGGATGCTGAAGATTGAAGACCATAATTAATAACATAATTAAATGACAAATATAGAATAATGCACTGAACAACATCAGATCATGCATTCTTTTGAAAGTTACAGAAAACATTGACCAAAAATTTATTGTATGCAGGGCCACAAAACAAGTTTTAATAATTTGCCAAGGATTAGCCTCATTATTTTCTGCATGACAAAAAAAACAAAGCTAGATCCTAAGATGCAAATTCAAAAGTTTTGCTAGTAAAATAATCCATTGGAAATAAGGGCATCTCTGAATAAGCTAAGAAACACTTAAGAAATAAAAATTAAAAACATATAATTGGAATGATAGTGAAAAAACATTGTATTAAAAAGGACCAAAAGGGGGAATCTATTTTCTGCATAATTTTAATATTAAAATCTGACAAGGATATATTTTGAATTACAGATATTCTCTCTCATGAACATAGAAATATCATAAAAGAAATGTTTTCAGAGAATCCAGAAAAAATAATGTTTTCAAATGAAAAGGAAAAATATTAAAATTCATTTCAATACTGGAAATTGAAGCTTTTGATAAAGTTCAACATCCAATTAATAATAAAAATAATAACAACAATGATACTACTATGCATTAGTACAATTTGTAGATAAAATTAATACTTTTCCTAAATATAAGGTCAATATAAATGTATTTCTTGTATTTCTTTATGTCACCAACAATTAGAAAATAAAATTTAAACACTATGCCACTTAATGTCGTTAAAAAATAAAATGCCCAGAAATAAATGTTACCTTTTTTAGGTATCCATTGCCTAATCGATAAATAACAACCTTGAGTAAACTTAGGCTATTTCCTTCCCTGAATCTTTGTTTCTTTGGTTTGTAGGTTATTCAGAGAATTCAAAATTGGATCATTTGAATTGC